CTGTAATCTCTCTTCTTGTTTATTTCTTTTTCCTCCAACCACTGCTGTAATTTCTCTTCTCGTTCTTCTTGTTCTTTTCTGTTTTTCTATTGCTGCCATCAAATCTGCTAAGCTGTAGTTTGATTTGCCACTTCTCGTTTCCATTTTTTTCTTTTTTCTTTATCCCACTCTCTGACACCAATTCGTTAGGTCTCCGTTCGTTAATTGATTTTTCGTAACTTTGTTCCGACAAAACTTTAGCGACACAAGTCCTTACTTAATAAAACTGGTTTATTCTTTCTGAATACAACTTTACGATACACTTGATTTCAACATTCGCACTAAAACAAACGCTATAACGAACTTCAACAATACTCTCTGACTGCAAATCAATTACTCAATTACCTACACACACATTGATGCCGTCACGTTGTGACCATCTTATATATACCAGATAACCCTATATCTAGTAATCTCCCGACAATTCACGAAGGTTCGAGAGAAGTGACCTCGCTGACGCAACACCGTCTTATCCAACAGGTTCGAAGTGAAACACCACAATGAAGTATGAGCAATGTTCCAAAACAGGGACAGAGGAAACAAAATATATTAGCTGAACTTGGATAAGGTTTGAAAAGGCTATACATTTATCTTATACACAAGTCCTCCGTAAAATGATGGATTGGTGCGCACACAAACAATTTATAGATGCCACAATCTATTGTGGATATAATAATTATGTTGAAGCAAAGTAAGTGTACATCCTTAAAGGAAGCTATCGAGTTGGCAACGGAACTTGAATCCATTAAAGTTACAGATAAAAACTAAAGACACCATCTAAACGTTATGGAATTGTCAGATCTAGTAGTATTAAAACATCAACTCTATCTGATGATAGTCTAGAATAACTGAAAGTATTAGTTAGACAGCTAGTTACACAGAATCAAGGATATATAAACTGCAAGATAATAAATGTTTCAAATGTAACTTGGAACTGCAGACAAAAGTCTGTGTGGAATAAGGACTCATTCCAAAACATACCAAAAAGAGGGAACTGTTATAAATGTGGGAAATATGGCCACTACAACCGATACTTTAAGGAACTAACAGTTGTTATTCAGATAAGAAGAAAGAACCCAGCAGATCAAACGAGCAACAAAGAGCTAACCAGACATCAAGAAAACAGGAATTAGCTAGATTTATGGAATGAAGTTCAATTGGGAATACTCCCTCCCCCAAATGAGATAAGAAGTTCAATTGGGAATACTGCCTCCCCCAAATGAGATAAGAAGTTCAATGTTTGAAGAAAACTGTTCACTAGCAAGTATCCAAACTGTGACGATTCTTTGATGACGTATCTAGAATTCGTATAAGTGATGTTTATAATGAAACCAAATATGACCTAAGAGGAGAGGCTGATGTGATAAGGAAGACTTCAACCAAAAAACAATATGCAAGTGACTGAAAAAACTGAAGTTGAGAATATATAAGGTTTCATATATATTTTAGTAGCAAACATTCAGATTCTTACGCCTAATCGTCAATAGCCTTTGTACAGTGTGAAAATTAAACATGTTATTTACACAATTTCATTAATGACACTTGCTAAATTTAAATATTTTATCGATGGTTTGTTTTACTGACAGAAAACCTTGTATTATGCTGATTAACGCTGTTTCTGTGACTACAATTGTTTGACTCGATTTTGCAATGAAAGGTGGGAAATTGCCTCCAGAGATGAGGAAAGAAAAGGTATTGATGCAACCAGCAGGTAGACATAAAGTTCCAGCAAGGTAGAAAATTGGATGTTACCATTACTGTAGGAAGCTTTTCTATACCTCATGATGTATGGGTAATTTACGTCAAAGAAGAGTGCATTT